ATATATATATATATATAGATATAGATATATATGTGTGTGTGTGTGTATAGAATCAAAAAGAGTACACAAAGTACACATTTTAAGAGATGTTATCTATGTATTACTTTTCAAAGTTGAACTGAATTACAGTAGCAATGTGTAGTATAATGTTCCCTCAAAAGATGGCATTAATCAAATGAATGCTAGCGCCATTCATTGTATTTCAATTTTAATGCAGTCTTTTCTTTTCTTAAAATGTGTATAAATTTTTTTGACACCCTCTGTATATATGCATCTGTGAGGCTTGAGAAGCATATTACAAATGCATATGAGCTTTTCTAGCTATATTGACATATACACTCACATATATCTGGGAGCTTTTCTACTATCTGTGTGTATGTTTGTATAGCTTATATTAAGAGAGAGGTGCTATTTACTCAAGAATTATTCTAATTTATTTTCATTTCTCCTGCTGTCTAAAATCTCTCCAGGATTACAGCCTGCTAGGTCAAAAAAGTATTTATTTGACAAAGCATATTTGACGAACCTGGGTCTCTCAACAATTTGTCTAGTGTTTTTCTTATTACATATCTCCATTTCCTTTTTTTTTTTCCAAAAAGAAAGAAATCAAAAGTTATCTTCACTCTTATTGACTATTTTGCAACTAACTAGACTTATCGGGGGGATCACTTCATAAATTATATAAATGTTTAACCACTACACTGTGCACCTGAAGCTAATATAAAATAATACTGAATGTCAACTAAATTAAAAAAAAAATGGCCACGGGGATATAAAGTATAGCATAGGGAATATAGTCAGTAATATTGTAATAACTATGTACAGTGTCAGATGGATAATAGGCTTATTGGGGTTATCACTTTGTGAAGTACTTGTCTAATTACGATGTTTTGTACACCTGAAACTAATTTAGAAAATAAATAAATTTAATGGTTAATAAAAAAAGTTATCTTCACACCTGGGCTGTGAGCCCTGGATTTCTCCCTGATTCCCAGAGGTTAGCAGACACCTTTTTAATTCGCATAAGAGGTGCTGTGGAATCCATGAATGGGTGATAAACTCCTTGAGGAGTTTTTCTTCTCTCTGTATTCCTACTCATTGCCTTACACGCAGAGCCCACATAAACATTTGCTGAATGGAGAAGAATTTTATTAGAGCAGAACAAACATGGTTGAGTCCTATAGCTCTGGCTGGGAATGCTGTCTCTGTTTCTTGCTAGTTATGTACCTTGGGGGCAATTTGCTTAGGTCTTAAGACTCAGTTTTCTCATCTGTAAAATGGGGATATTATATAACACACTCGATCTCAAAAGTGTGTTGTGAGGCTTGAGACAAATCCAGCATATCATTTAGCCCATTGGAGGGATTCAATTAATGTTTTCTCCCTTTGAATTTGAGTGTTCACTCTCATCTGTGGGACCCTGCTGGAGGAGCGTCAAGTCAGACTTTGTTATGGGCCCTTCACCGTTCCTGCATGCCACACCCATCCCCTGGTGATTCCTGAGGCGCAGTTGCATCTTCTGTTTCTATTCTGAGTGCTTCCCAGCAGCCTGAGGCTGCTTAGGTGGGTTTACTGCTTGGGCTTGCAATTTTTTTCCCTGGTAATTCCCTCTTACCTGGTAACCTTTGGAAGGCTCTTGAGTGATGAGAGAAGCCAGGGGTGGGCAGGCTTTTGGTTTTTTGGGTAGACAGGATTTATTTTGGTCTTGGTTTTGTTTGCTTGGCACAGAATGTTTCAAGGCTAAAGGTTAGATTGTCCTGTCCTCATAGCTCTATTCTTCTCCTTCTGTGCTGGCTCTAGGGGAAAGGAAGCTTCAGGTCCCCAATTCTCGGTCACATGAATTGGGACCTTTTCTCTGGGGAATGCTGGGGTGACTTTGCAGAGACATCCTCCTCCCCTACTGCCTGCTTCCTTTGTTAGGTTAAACTCAATTTAAAGGAAAGGATGCTTTTCTAGGTCAGGATCGCAGCAAGGTAGAAGGGTGGTGTTATTTCGGCACAGAGTTGGAAGAGGAATCAAGATGTGATGGAGTATTGCTCAAATTGTGGTCCTCCAATCACCACTGGAAGAATTCTTGACTCTACCCAGGACCCACTAAGTCAAACTTGCTGGGAGTGGGGCCGGGGAATCTGTGTCACTGCTCCCCAGGGACTGTTAGTCTCCAGCTGTACTCATGGAGTGGGAAGAATAGTGGCCTTGACTCTTCGTCAACGTCACATATTATTGAGACTTTAACTTGAGTCACTTCCTCCCTCTGTCACTCAGTTTCCTCATCTGTACAATAGACTAGATTAATACCATCTCTTTCTGAAGACTATGATTTGCCACCAAAACATTCTTAATGTTTCATTGATTAAAAAATGATTATTTTTAGGAACTGTTGACATGCTGGGTCTATCTGCTAGAGATAAAGAAATACAAAACATGAACCCTTCCTCAAGTTGTTCAGAATCTAGTTGAGAAGGTAACTCATGTGACATTTAGACACTATCAAAGTAGTATTTAACTAAGAAGCAAATGATGTAATTGGATTTTAAGCACAATAGGACTTCAGAAAAGAAATAACTCTGATGGTTGGGAAGAACCTGGGAGGCTGCCTGAAGAAGGTGGATTTTTAGCTATTTCTTGAACAACAGGCAGGCACATACAGATGGTAATAAAAGGACTGAGCACAGGCAATGATGCAATTATACAGAAGGAAAAAAAGCAAATAGATGTGAGAATGGGTTTGGATTGTTTGCAGCGCCTTGAGAAACTTGGATTGCTAAGGGATAGTTTCTTGAGAACTGGGAAGTGGCTGGAGGCGTCAGACAGTGGAGTGACTTATATACCAGGGTAAGGAATCTGGGTTTCTTCCTTAGGTGGAGGGAGCCAGTAAAGATTTCTAATCAAGAAAGTACATGGATTCACAGGCACAATTGAAACTATCTACTATGAAGGCAGCAATAATATTCATAGCGGTTTGGAAGGCTGTGTTTGTCTGGATCCTTCAAGAAGCAGACGCCAAGATAAAATTAGATACAACAAGAAACATATATTAGGGACAGACAAGATGGAAGAAGACAAAGGAAGGAAGGAGAGTGGCCTAAGCACCGGGTAAGGAGACTGAGAGAATGAGAATGGCTCTGGGTTCCTGGAAGGGCTTTCCAGACCCAGTTACTTGTTAGAAGCTCTAGGAATTAAGTGGAACCCCCAACATCCCTTTCAGTGGATTTTGCACTGTTTGGAGATTATTCGATGTCCCTGCAAGCTGGATGTTGGGAGAAAACCAAGTGCTCTGACTTGGTCCTGTAGAGCTCTAGATGGGTGTGCTGACCTATTCTGAGAAGAGCATAGTTTTCAGTTTGTCCAGAATTTGAGAGGGCTTACATATAGCCACTTTTGCTTTTGCATACTGACTGTGAGAATGATTCTAGATGAAAGAAGATCAAACCAAAGGGGATAAGAAGTCTATTGTATGTAGGTGTGTGTATTAATTCAACAAAACAGGAATCACCTGGCACGTTGCTAGGCATTTGTTTGTGGAGGGTGTGGATAAATCACTTGCCTTCATTAGCCCCTGGATTTAACAAGTGAGGAAACTCCCTGTGAATGGCAAAGGCAAGGACCATGGGGTGACTGTGGAGAACAATTCTTTGCATGGGATACACACTCCTTGCTGTTGTGCTATGCTAATAGGACAGGTGGCTTGGTAGATTTTACTGGTCTACAAATACCATGCCATTGATGTCTTTCTTGGCTTTAGCGTTTCCTGTTAATCCACCATCCCCATCATAGCATGCAATCAGAGAGGAGACCTATGAGCTCTCCAGCAAAGGCCCTGAAGAATAATTGAATGTCCCAAACCAACTTTGCCATGGACTCTCTTTGACCTCTAATGGGTCACATCCTTGCCTCTAATTCTTTTCTTAGTTTACATAAAAGAAATGGAAATGGAACTGACCCACCCCATGGGGGGCTAGATGAAAATAAATATCAAAGTGCATGTTATGTCATCAGTTAAGTACGATATAAATGTTCAATATAATGGCTGATTATTTTTCTTTAATTTGAAATGGGTACCTAGAATGGGAAAGCCCATCTTGGTAGCAGAAATTCATTATCTCAGAAAGAGTTTAATGGCTGCTGTGCAAATGAACTGGAGGAAGTTAAATTGTGGAATGGGAAGGAGCTGAGGAAAGTGAAATGAGTTGTGCATTAAATTTAGATAAACACAATTATGTGTAACTGGATTATCAGGCATGCAGGCAGACGCTGTATATTAGGCACCTGCGTTTTGATTAACATCGATTCAGGTGCCTGTGCTTAGCACCCTTGTAGGTGTGGAGTTGTGCCTAAGTCCCTGTCCAGGCACATGAGGGGCAGGCAGGGAAATGTCTGATATCCAAGTCCCCAGCTGGAGAAGTTTAAAAGTCATGGTACCAGACTGACCAGCCCAAGACCATTTCAGCAAACTGCTAACAGGCAGCTCTAGCTCTCAAGTATTGATGGCTGCCGAGGCCCTAGTGATGGAAACACAAAATCTCATTGAACCCCTTTGTAGACAGAATCAGGCCCTGTCCTTCTTACCCTTTTAGTGCAAGTCTGTAAGTTAGTCATCTCCAGATCCAAAGCAAGCCCATCCTCTGACCTCTGGGTGACCTTACTAGTGAACACACCCAGCCGGCCCCATGCCTGAACTGAAAGGAGGACAGATGTGGAAAGACAATGGTAGATACCCTGTTAATTCCTGTTGCTATGTTTTATTTCAAATGCAAAGCATCATCAGGATTAAAATGAATGCTACCAGTTAGGGGATGCATTAAATTAATATTTGTCTCCCCCTTGCTTGATCCTATAATATCCCTGAACTCAATGGATAGCGACTAAGGCCTCCGCTGGGTGATCTGAGATACATTGTATATCATTACACAAACTAAAGTAAGCTTTTTTCCCCCCTTTTCTTCCTCTCCTCTGCCCTCCTCACAGGTTATACTTATCCTGACGAAGCTGTATGACTTCAACCTGGGGAGCGTGACTGAGAGTTCACTTTGGAGGTAAGTGGATTAGAGATTCTTAAGGAGCTACTTGGCTCCGCTCACGTGAGACATGCCAGCTAAGCAGCTGGGATGCCTGTTTTGGAAGGGGCTGAAGATGAGCTTCCTCCTGGAAGCCCTCTTTAATGCCCCAGGTGGAACTGACGGCCGCCGCCTGTGAATTCCCTTAGCGCTCTGCTTGTCTCCTTTGGGTCCTGTCACACATCCTCTTTGGCAGTGTTGTTACTTCTTTCCTCAAGTGTCTCAGTCTTCGTTGGACACGGGTCTGGTTGGAGAGATCAAGGAAGCGTGCCTGACACAAGGAGAGGCCAGGGTAAGGGAGCTGCTGTAGGAGGGACTGCTTTCAGCCCTTTGTGTCTGAAAGATGTGGCCATTTTTGAGAAGCCCTGTTCTTAGGAGAACAGACCCCTGTGGGAGTCAGGTCTGTGCAATGACTTTCATGGTGCCTAACGTTTGTGGGCTGCTTCCTCCATTAAATTATATTAAAAGATATATTTTATAAGCACATTGGTATAGAGACAAATGTATTCATACATTTTTTTCAGCCTAAAATTTCATTTTTCATTTTGACTTTAAAAGAAATGAAAGCACTTGTGCCCCAGGCACTGCGCCCATTGTGCGTGCTGGATAAGTCAGCCTCCACGGGACACGGGGGCCTGTGGGACAGGGAGAGGGTGGCTGTGGGTGGACTAAGTCAGAGACGGCGCGAATGAAGCCATGAACCTCGGAGTTTCTCTGGAGAGGGAACACCCGCGCACTTATCCTTCCGTGTACCTCCTCACGTGTACATGCCCCCCCAGGCTCACGGCCACACTGGCTGCAGTCACACAGGACAGCCTGTGTCATCAGTGTCATCAGCCACTGAGTTGGAGCTTCACGCTCCGTGCTTTTTCTGTCCATGGGACTCAAGGGCTGTGAATCGATTCCATTTGCTTTGTTATTTGTAAAGACCGGGGAGGAGGACGCTGACAGAAAAGGTCATTGACTCGGCTGCCCTGTTCTGAGTGTTTCCTGGGGTTTTGGAGCAGAGGGGTCTGGGGCGTGAGGGTCTGTGCACTTTGCTTCTTAATTTGACCTTTTTGTGTGTTTGCAGGGAGGGGCAGCAGCCACAGCACCTATTAAATATTTAGGGGTTAATTGCTCATATCGACCGAGGCCTGCCTCCATTTGCATAGGATGTCCAAAACCTAATTTTGCTGCTCAGTGAAAATTGGCAGAGGTATAAGTAACCCGGCTGCCTCTAATCAATGAAAACAAGCCTATTTCCACTCAGGTGGGACTCCCAGGGAATCAGAGTCTCAGAAACCTTACCCTCAGGCCCAATCACAGTGATACTGTGGTGATCCTTGAAGCCTGATTCCCGTGCTGTCTGCATGGTGCAAATAATGAAACAAGCCAGAAAATGCTGTCCTCACAATGGGAAAGAGCTCTACCTGGCAGCCCATGTTTCAGGAAAGGTTGGGCTAGTTTTAGGAGGTGGCCAGGCAAAGCCAGGGAGCCAAGGCCTATTACTTCATACTAGAGGCTCTTAAGTGGCCAAGTGTGTGTTCCCATGGTCATCACAGCCAGTATATTCACTGGTGTGTACCACAGACAGCAGACAGCTGAGTGGCCCTAAGATACCCTGATGTCCAATGGTCAGGATTCAAGTCCCAGTTTGCCCACCCAAAGAGCTCTGTAAATTTGAGAACTTTATTATCCTCTCTGCTCAGTATCCTAGGGCAGCCATAATGAAGGACCACAGACTGGGTGGCTTAAAACAGCAGAAGTTTATTCTCTCCCAGTTCTGGAGGCTGGAGGTCTGAAATCAAGGTGTGCTTCGAGCCGCATTTCCTCTGAGGAGGCTTAGGGAGACTCGTTCTTTGCCTCTTCCTTCCGGTGGCTGCCAGCATCCCTTGTGACTACATGACTCCACTCTGTCTTCATCATCTTCACGTGGCCTTCTCCTCTGTGCCTGTCCTTTCCTTTTCTGGCTCTTGTAAGGGCACTTATCATTAGGATAATCCTGTATGCTCTTATCTCAATCCTTAATTACATTTGCAAAGACACTTTTTTTTTCAAATAAGGTTCCCATTACAGATTTTGGAGGTTAGAATGTAGATATTTTTTGTGGGGGAGCCACCATTCAAACCACTTCACTGTCTAAGTCTCAGTTTCCCTAAATATAAGTCAGAGATAGCACAGACCCTACCTTCACTCCAGCCACATGTCCTGTCTGCTGTTTCCTGTACACACAGATCTCTTTGCTGGGGAACCCTTAAACTTGGCCCTTCCCCTGTCTGACGTCTCTTCTGCCAGGGGCAGGCACTCCCTCACTTCCGTCCCTCCTTTGTTCACCTAGTCCGTGAGGCCTGGCCCCAGGTCTTCAAGTTCATCAGTCCTTAACACTTATCACCCTCTGGCATGCTAAGCATTACAGAGTATTTATTGTCTACCTACAGTCACATCTAAGCTTATAGAGAGATTTTTTTTTTTTTTCATTTTAATTTACTGCTGGATTCTCAATACCTAGAACAGTATCTGGCACGTGGAGGGACCTAATATGTGTTTGCTCAATAAATAAATTAGTGGCTGGATTACAAGCGTTCAATGGAATAATAAATGAACAAACAGGATGGTAATCGCATGCAGGAAGTGCTCACTTAATTGTAATAATTAATGATTGCTATAACCCTGTATGTCTGTGTAGCTTTCATTCCATTATTGACTTTGTTGATTAGGATCCATTGTTGCAGGGGTTCGTGTGATACAGATTGTAGGGCACCAAGACTTATCTGAGACTTGGCAGAGCTCTTCATGGGGTGATGGCAGGAGATAGGGAAGGAGAATAGTGATTTAGAATGTGGTCCCTTGTGCCAACTGGGGGGGAGGCGAGGAGAAGGGGGGGATTGGAATATCAATTTCAACTTAGCCAAAGATGTCCTTTTGTGGACAAGATTCTCTGAGCTGGGTGTTGGAATGATGGACGAGATGCAATTTGGCAAATGGAAAGTGCAAGAATGTTCCCAGCACAGGGAAAAGGCCAGGCAAAGCTGGGCTGCAGGAGAGAAGGGAGCCAAACAGGAGGCAGGAGAGCAGCTGGGTGTTGGACCAGGTAGGAAGTGTGGGGACTCCTCAGGGTCACAGAAGGGGCCAAACCAAAGGGAGTTACTCAGAGCATAGTTTACAGGTAACAGATTCCATGTGGTGTGATTTTTTTTTTAGGGATTTGAAAAGCTGGTGGATATTATGGGCTTTCCCTCTGGATAAATGTTATATAGGAATGTATTTTTGTGTTGTATTTCAGAGGCTTCATGGGTCTGATAAAGCCCAGCTTAGGAACTCCTGGGTAGAGTGTGATTGAGGAAAGGGACTGCTCCTAAACTTTGCGGAAATTTTCCGACTGGCTGGGGCCTCACAGGGTGTCTTCTAACTTTTCATTGTCTTCCCCGCTCAGCCCCTAAAGGCATGTGTCTCCCACTCGCTTTTCTATACTGATGAGAATGCATGTACAGTTAGAGCCTAGGGCACTGTGGCCTTCCGTACTGATACAGTGTGCAGGGAACGGAAACTAAATTAAACATGCACGCTTTCGGTGTCACGATTTGGCCCAACATGCTTAACCAAGTTGAAATTGAATTTGGTGATTCTTCTTCAATTTTCTGTACAGACAGGAGCAGTAGCTGTCATGACAAGATGACACCCACCCGGGCAGGCACCAGTGTGATATGATTATTTGCCTCACTGGATTAGTAATTCAGAGGCCATCTACTTCTAAATAGACAAGACTGTTTAAAAGCATTCAACAATGGAGCAGTATCTTGTGTCCTTGTGACACTCTTTGGAACTCCTTGGTGCTATTATATTGGAGGTGGTTCAAGTTTTTTTTTTTTTTAGCTGAGCCATCCTGCCACCTGTTGGCAGCTCAGCGGCAGCTCAGCTCAGGCTGGGACTCGAACTGCTGTTGCTCAGAGCTCACACTCTTGAGCGAGCTCTTAATCAACTGAGCCACTCGGCCAGCCCACAAGTTTGTTTTCTCCACCAACACAAAGATGGCTGTGTAAATTGGCCATTAGCACAACCATCTGTTGGCATCTCTTACTCAAATAATATTTTGCATATAAGATTTCAAGCTAGAGCATTAGTGAGGTTAGGGGTTGACTTTTTAAAAAAGAGCCAGGGCTTCACTTTCAGGGTACTTTTTCAGCCCATCGTGTGTCAAGCCTGGAGGCTGCCCATCAGTCAACAGTGATGTTGGGCCCTATCTCTATTAGACTTTATAGACGCCTTCCCCGAGGAGGAGAGGTGAATCAGAGTCAGGAGGCTCAGCATTAAACAGTTTCCTCCTCATCAAATGAATTAAAGTGAAGGTTCTGGAACAGATGATCTGGGTCCAAGTCCATGCTTCTCCACTTAGCCAGTGAGTAACCTTGAACAAGCTGCTTACCTCTCTGCCTCCATTTCCTTATCTGTACAATGAGGATTATACTTGCACCAACCTGATAGAGTGGTTATGACATTTCACTGAAATAAAATACATAAACTGCCTAGAAAAGTGCCTGGCGTGTAGTGCCTAGGCATGGCACACACTCAAGGAGAGTTAGTCGTCATCATGTAATCCACAGGCAATTGAGCTGCTTCTCTATGCTGGCTTCTTTACCTAAGCTGTCTTGTTCTGTCCTTTACAACAAACTTGAGAGTTGGGTATCACTGGCCCCATATTACAGATGAGAACATTGAGCTTTCAGAGTTACAGAACTTGTCCCAGATCTGATAGCTAAGAAGTAGGGGGGATTCGTACCTAAGTCTGAGGCTAGGAGTGCTCCCTGGTTCCTGATCTGGGACTCTTTCCACAGTGTCACATGTCCTGTTAAATGGGGACCCTACAGCTGGATATAACCCTCTACTTCCTGTCTCCTCCATCCCCACTGAAAATAGGCTGTTGTCATGGTGTGCAGGCATCGTGGACTCAAAGACAGGGCCATGTTCTTCCTCATTCCTCTGACAATGACATGACATGT